TGACAAATAACTCATCAATATATTATAAACTATATGAAGACTTCAGGGATAAGTCAAAAATCTATTTTTTATTTCAAGTTGAAAACTTTAACATTCTAACATTCTAGAACTAGAATAGCTTTTGGATACATTTTGCCTACTTTTAAGAGTAATAAAGGCAGTTTAAAATCAGACAAGATACTTCTATAAATTGCCATAGTATCCTTGCAATATCTTCAGAACTCTGAGTCTCTCTTCATGCAAGATTTCATATCTGTACCCTGGTGGAGTGGGGCCTGCCAACCAAGGGGTGGAATAAGCGTGGCTTTGCAACCAGCTTGTTCCTTGAAATGTTCTGACACCAGGAATGGAGTTGTTTATGGGAACCAGAAATTAAATCAGATCAGTTCCTTTCAAGCTATAGTAAATAAAAAACAGAGGGTAGCTGGAAATGCAAAACAGAAACAGCTTGTTCATTTCCAGGCCCATGGTTAGGGCTCCTAGGTGCTGCTGCCATACTGGTACTAAAGACAGAAATTGAGGAAGTTGTTAAAGATGCAAACGAGAACTCCAAACCATAGCCCATACAGAGTTCCAGGTTCTAATGGCTTTAAAATATAAAATTGTAGGCATTTGAAACAGTCCTTTTAATTTCTCTATTCCATTATTATGCTTTCACTGGCTCTTATGAAAGAGAAAGAAAGAAAGGCAGAACAGAGCCTGAACCATGGCTGGGAGACTAGCAGAGAAGAGATGAGGAAAGCACAGTCCGTTCTCTTTGTTGCACCTCTTTGCTATAGAAAACTCTCACCACTTCTTTTGCAATCTTGAGAGAGGTCAGAAAAGAAGAACAAATGTGACCCCTAGAAAATAATCTCTTTCATCTCCCTTGCTCTGCTAAGGATACACTTCTTGTCTTGCAAATGGAGCCGTTTGACAATCATTGCTCTCAGTGTCTGGTTAAGCTTCATCTTTGGTGCTAACAACTAGTGCACTTTTGACCTCCCTGTGCTGCCGTAGACATACAGTGGCAAAAAAGGTCAAGGAACAACTTTTCCACAAAGATTATAGTCTGGCGAACCTTTTCCTCTGGGCAGCCTCAGAACTTGGATATTGGCCTTATTGGACCTGATTTTAAGAAAATTCAATGTTGCTCCAGTGTAAGCAAAGACAGTCTTCTGCTATTGCTGTGGAGCCCCCAGACTAGTCCCTTTTTGAGACACAATTTTCTTTACACTTTCTTCAATATGTTTATGGTCAGTTTTCTGTATCTTTGAAAAGGGAGGGTTGTAAAAGTTTTTTGTTCTCTGCAAAAGTATGGGCTTGTCTACCTGTGGTGAGAACAAAGAGGAGAGTAATGGCTGGGACAGGAAAAGTAAGAGCACAGTTTTTGGAATCACTAAATTATTCAGCTTCCCTAAGTCATATACAAGCACTAGAAATTCACACAATACTAAGTATATAAAAATATTAAAGCTTCTGTTTTTACACTAATAAAAACTAAGCTTTTCAGAATTGTCTATGTAAATACTCTTAACTCATATATTGTAAAACAAGTTAATAGTGCAATAACTATTCCATTTTTGTCTTAAATAAAATATTAAAAGCTTAGTCTCACACAAGTGGCCAGGAATTTAAATCCAGGCACCAGTCTATCAGCTAATCTATGGGAATTATCCAAATGACCCATTTTAAGATCTTTTCCTGTAATTGTTCAGTTTTGTCATGTTTATATTCTAGGACACATGCTATGCTATGAATAAGCTGTGTCTCTTGTCATTAGCCAGTGCTAAAGGACAATTTGTCATGTGTTATGGCACTTTTCACCTTAACTGTGAAAAGGATCTAAGTTCCACAAAATCTAGTGTTTGCAGGAATAATCACAAATTGCAATACAATTTAAAAAATACAGCTATAGTATTATTTAACTGGTAGAATTTCTTTAGAACACAGGCATTTGTATTTCCTTTTACTTGTTTTGCTTGTTATAGAACTCCATACTCATATGCAGAACAACTAGTATTTGCATCATAGCTAATTTATCATATTTAAAAAGCCTTTTTTAAACATCTGGTATGTGAATGTTTTTAGGGATTTTGACTAAAAAAAGGTTAGTCATTTCAATCATTTGCCACATTTCAAAACGGTGCTAGCCCTCATTCTTTAGATAGATTCATCCCACTTTATTAGCACTTTAATTAGTTCATATTAGTTGCTTCTGGTTTCCATCTATGTAATGGAAAATTATCTTGCATAAAGACTGGCTATTTATGCGGTCACTGTGGCACTGATTTACATCATAACAGTACACCCTTTTAAAGCAACCATATCCTAGTATCATTCAGTTTCCCATACTTTTACCTTATATCCACTTATTTATTTATATGCTGCTTTGCCCTAGTGCATAAAAGACCTCACTATCCAGCTTCCACTTTCCAACACTGCAGAGGAAGAAATACTCAGGAATCTTTTACCCCTTTCATTCTAATCATGTTCTCTGTGCTGAGAACAGAATTTCCTGATAAGCAAACCAGGCAATAAGAGTCTGTAGCCTGCTTTATGGTGTAGGCATTACTAGTAAATGAAACTGCAAGAGCTCGTTTTTCAGAACCACTATTTATGGATCCTTGTATAGGAACAGCTTGACTTCTGTTCACTAACATTGTCACAATGACATTATGTTTAAGGACTTCAGACCTCTTTTTAAATGTGAATGGGCATGAATGGAAGAACTGTAGTAGTTTAGTAGTTTTTCTTCTTTTTAAAATTTGGCTGATGAGAAGCATTTTATGTGTTTTATTTGAAAGTACAAGTACAGAGGAAGTGTTGGAGGGTTGCTGTTTGATTTCTCATTTTAATAACAAACAGATATTCTTCCAAAACCTACTCTATTGTTACCTTTAGTGCAAGGCAAAAATAACAATATAGTCACAAAAGAAAAGGGACTGGGGAAAATGGCTCAGAAGAGATGCTCTTTTGAACATTTGGTGTGCTCTTCATTGGTAATGAAGTATAAGACAAAGGACGTTTTTATCCAAACTGATGTTTCAGTGAATAGTATTGTAAAGATTACATATTGTTAGATTCAAGTATATAACTCTAGACATTGCAATAATTCTGTTAATAGTCCACACCTACCTTGAGAAATGTTTTTCTTGGTTTTGCAGAAGCCTCACCAAATCCACTCTTCTCCATGAGTATCAAATTCTACTTTCCAAGCACCTGATCTGTCATTTCATTCCTTCTTATTAAAGCCTGTCAGTTGCCATTCACCACAGTGTCTTGGAAGTTTATCTCACGTTCTTAAGCCTTTGTTTTCCAGCTCAACACATATTCAGTGCTGAAAGTCAAACTTTTCCCTGAACACCCATTTTTCCAAAGCACCAGATCTCTATATGTTTGTTGCAGATACTAAATAACTCCAATTCTAATACCTCTAAAAATGTCATGTCAAATGTTCTTTATAGAAGAGCTGGATGAAATCTCAGCTCCTATTCACAGATGCCAGGATTTAGCTGCAGATCTGTTTTGATGAAATCTCAGCCCATGTTCACAGATGGCAGTTGTAGAAGGTGAGATAGGGCAAACCAGAACATTGTTCTGGTATCAGCAAGAGTGACTGGAAGTATGTTCCTGAAATATCTTTCTTCTTTATCTTTCCACAAAGTTCATGAGTATATGATAAAAAATAATTATTAGAATGTAGATTTCCAACATTAACATAAACTTTTACCATATCATGTTTTTAATCTTACTAAGCTTAAGACATACATTGAGAGATATTTCATTAGTGTGTCTACTGTCATGTAAGGATCAGAAAAGGTAAATGTTATTGATCACCATTAAAAAGCCACAAGGAAGTAATTTTAATGTATGTCATATTCTAAAAGAACCACCTGAGTCTTTGTACGAGGATATATAAGTTGGCCTGCAATTGAACTTCCATAGAGGTTTTTTAAGAAAATGTTAAAATTAAGAATTCCAGTTGTATGCAAAATGTGTTTCCTCTCCTGTCTTGTTTTAAAGACTCATGAAGTAAAAGTCCTGGTCTAGAATTTTCTTGAATAGATAAAAAGAGTGCATAATATTGTATAAAACTTTCAAAGTACAATGGAAGTCTAGGACAAATATAATTATTATTGTCGGTTTATCACCTCAAACATGTTGTTGTAAATGTCATGATATCAGATGAGTTTGAAAACAGGTTTCCCATTTCGCACTTTGTTTGACAAGGTCATTCATTGTGTAGAGCAGTTTAAGATGTCAGTTCTCATGGAAAGAATTGAGTTGCACTGATGTGCTTATGAGCATTCCATAAAAGTATATGATTAAAGAAGGGTTAGTCTTCTGAGTATTGTTACCCAACTGGCTTGAAATATGAGCGTTTTCTTTATTGAAATATAATTTATCACAGTTAACTCCTTCTAGTTAACCATGTGTATGTTACATATGGCATATGGCAAGCCAGTTATAGTTATCCACAAAATCATATGTGAGATGGTTTTTAATGCTGCAACACAATAGTTTGTAAAGTAATTGAAAGAATCTTGTTCTGCACCACATCTTCATTCTCAACAGTTGAATAAAGAGTAAAGAAAAGATATACAGACATTTTCTATGCTTTTTATGTGTCTTCTGTCTGTTGGTAGCTTGTTTTTTATTGCCTCAGAGAAAGGCAGAAATCTTCCATTTTGCTTTAGCCATTATTGCATTGAGTTTGGGAAATTTCTCTGTTCTTTCATCAGCCAACATATTTCATCATGGAGAATAAAGTTTGCTCTCCACTGTCATTCATTTGGACTAACCTCCTCTCTTAGCACAGCTGCCTATTCTATATTTAGGTTTCTTTACAATCCCAGTAAACTATTTGACTCAGTAATTTCTTGTAGAAATGAAATTCCACAGATTAATTGTATATCATGTGAAGGAGTACGGTATCTCCTTCCACTGTGTCTGAATTCACTACCAGTTCATTTCCATGAATGACTTGTTATTATTGTGCTGGGGAGAAGAAAGACAGATTTGTCTTAACAAAATCATTTATTATTTTTAATATTACCATGTCTAATAAATTACAAAATACAATCAAATAGTTATATATACTACAGGCACAACTCAACTTTCCTTCTCCTTTCCTTCTCCTCTCCTCCCCTCCCCTCCCCTCCCCTCTCCTCTCTCATATATCTTACTTCTACACAGGTGACCTTTATATTTCTGGATGCTGCTCTACATGTGAAAATCCAATGTGCAGTACATAGCTGAGGGCTAAGGTGCTGATATAGTGGCTGCCTTTGTCTTCCCCTCTTACTGTGGCCATAAGAGTGGTGAGTGGCACAGAAATATGTACACACAGATTAAAATTTGACTTTTCTCACAACTGACAATAATTATTAGGAACACATCCCTCCCCTTCCAAAGTAATCACACATAGATACCCCTCCCCCTCCCAGGAACCTCCTCTTCAACACCCTGTGTTTAATGCAATCAAATGTTAATTAACTGATATCGGTACACCTGATTGATATGCTTGGCATAACTGAACAGCAGATTCAGAAAAATGAGTATTCATGAATAGCATCACTTTAGTTTCCATTAACGAGTCTAGCAACAGAGATAAATGTTTCAATACAGTGTATGCTCCTATCATTCTACAAATATTTTAACCAAAGCTACTTCCCATCAACCATCCTTGAAGTTCCACCTCCTCCTCCACTTCTCTCTTCTTTTTCAGTTATCAGTCAGCATGACATTTGCAGATCTGAATCCTCCCTCCAGCCTAGCTGGTACAACTTCAGCATCACATATCTCCAGTAATAGCTGTATTCAAGAATTACTGCTTTATACAATTTTAACTTAACTTTTAATTTAGCTTATTCTCCCACCCACCAGAAATAAAGTAATACTACTTGCTATTGTAAAGGAAATTCCATTTTTAAAGCACTGAAGCACTTAGAATTCCTCCTTCCATCCATCTTCTCTTCACTCCAAGCCCCTACTGCTCTGCTGCCACTTACCCACCTTTCTAAGTGTTACCTGTAAATTGCTTGTTACAAACATAAGTTACAAACCCTTCATTTAGTTGCTGAGTTGTGCAAGAAGAATGAGTGAATCGTTCAGCTTCGAAGACCAGAGGATAAGATGCAGGAATATGTAAAATGAACAGCAACAGGTTTGAGAGACGTTTATGTACACATTTAAAGCAAGGTCCTTACAAAGACAGTTTTCTTTAGTAGTCATAATAATAGTGGAAAATTGAGCTCTACGTGCATGAAAACTTTTAAAAGGCTTTGCCTCTACAAAATATGGCCAAAAGCATCACTGATCAGCTGAGCCAGCACAGATACTCATCATGCCAACAGAACTATGGGGTTGTGTTGTTTTTTTGATTCATGCAACCATTTTAACCATTGAAAAGACACTTCCATACTCCTTTCAGCACTTTGAAAAGCCCTACTTTGAGGTAAGTAAAGTAAAAACTATAGAGAGGCATAGATTTGTCTAACATCACCATGTCAGGACCAATTAATAGAACTATAATAATCCTACATAGCTTGGAGTATTCTTGATTAGACTACTGGCAGAGGACTACTAGGATTTACAGAAAAATTGCTTTTTTGTTTTCTTTTCCATTTATAATTTTTTTTGTCTGTCATTGTATATCATTTAAAATCTGCTTGCCACAATTTCTTTTTCAAGCTTGTTAGAGGCAGGTGTTTCTCAGATCAAGTTTGGTCCTCTTCCTTATGAAGAAACAACAGAACCCATGCCCGCTAAAGTGAATTCGGGGTTCAGACTTTTGATTCGAAAGCTACAGAGCAGAAATTCAGGTATATATGCACCACAGCCTGTATGAGAAATTGCCATACCACCTTGTCTAAGGGCTCGTTATTTCCAGTAGCGTATATCTCTTCCTGAAAAAAAGGAAAAGATTTGGAGTATATGTTTGATATTCATTATCAGTTCTTCCAGAGTCTGATTTTTTTTTTAATTTTGTAAATGAAGTTCATCAAGAATGGTTTCTGGTTTTCCATGATTGCTTGAAATCTTGTCAAATATGTTTTCCTTTCCCTGTCACTCTCATAAGGCTTGGAAAATGCTACAACTGGATCATTGCTGCATTTAAAACATCCTCACACTAATTGCAAGAAAGAGAAAAATCTTTAAAATATTCCATGTGTTTTAAAGATTATTTTCCCTTCCACTCCCAGAATGTCCCATGAGAGATGGGCTCAACATAAAGCAGAGGTAAAAATATTTACTTGTCTAACTGTTCTTTTCATACTATTTATTTTAAGCATGATATAATTCTGTAATTCTTGTAAGTTTTAAGAATTAGTTTGACAATAACTACAGTATCACAGTAGTATTTGTACTTTAAAATTACTGATTTATACAATTTTAGCTTCACTTTTAACTTAGCTTATTTCCCAACTCACCAAAAATAAAGTAATAATACTTGCTATTGCAAAGGAAATTCCATTTTTTAAGCACTGAAGCACTTAGAATTCCTCCAGCGCACAGACCTAAGTGATGACAAGTTCACTTATGGTATAGTCCTTAAGGACACTTCTAATACCAGGGATGAGCATGTATTTACAGAGCAAACAGTAGCCATATGAAAAATGTAAGCATTTCAGGTTGGTAGAAAAGGCATGAAAGACAGGGCGAGTTCGAAAAATCAGACACACAGCACTGAAGGCAATAGATCACATGTCATCTTTTGGCCAAAATCTATCTCAAAGTGATGCTATTATTAGGAATGAGTTTGTAGAAACTTGTCAGTGAAGGAGATTGACTTGGCTAAGAACTTGACAGTCCCCGTTAATCGTCTTGAGCCAAGTATTAGTTTGGTCTGGCCTAAACATTAATAACCCCTTTACTGCGCACTCTGCAGCACAGGAAAATTTACAACATTGTTCCCTATGTCTTCAAGCCAAAAAAAAAAAACAAAACAAAAAACCCTACAAAAAAACCCAAAAAAACAAAACAAAAAAAATCTTGTTTTGCTTAACACAAGGGAATTGGAATGAAACTAAAATATGTGACATAGAAAGCTATGTCATCTGTGTATCCTGTCACCAAGGCAGGTCAAGATGCTATCTGACAGCGACTCTGCATTTGAGTTTATTGCAAACCAAAGAGGAACAATTTCATATATATATGAATTATATATATGATATATATTATTATGAATATATTTTTATATATGATTATATTATATACTTCATGTATATTTGTATGTGTTTGTATGCTGATGTGTACACATGGATACAATGAACGGCACAAACTGTAAAGACACAGAGATATCATCTAACATTCTTACCGTAACAATGATGCAGAGGCACTGTTCCATAAAAAAAATCTTTCACCTACCTTGGGAAAAAGACAAATCATTAACTGAGAAAGTCCAGGGACATGGCTGCGCTTACAAAAAAACATTTTAAATTGTAGTCCCAGGCATGTCTTTTTGCACCGGTGTTAGTGTGCACTCCCTTTACCTAGAGCTGGAGAGGTCTGGCTCTCTGAGGAAGGAATGTGAAGCAGGCAGGAAAAGGAGATCCATGTGTCAGGGCCATTGCTGTCAAATGGCCTTCTCACACTGCAGATGTTCAAGCATGAGCCAGGAAGTGTATGGAATAAAAAGCAGTCTGTGGAACTTTAGGAGGGGATAAATTCCGCAGAAAGCTTGTAGCATTCTTCTACATCACAAGAGAATTTCACCATCAGGGAATGGGTTCTGTGCAGGACTCTCTGTATGGGCTGATCTTAGACGTACTATTGGTATATCAACATTAATTTTACACTATACCAATACTTTCCTTTAGGAAGTTAGCTCTAGCACTTGCAAGAAGTTCTAGCACAATTTGACCATATGCATAATTTACATGAACCAACTCTGTAGAACATATATCAGAGTTTTCTCTTCCTTTAGAAATCAATTTTTATTGACAACAAAGTCAATTCTGAGAATAAAACTTTAAAAATGGGTAAATCTTCTAGTTGTCCCAAAAAGGGATTGCTGATAATGATGGGTCTTGCATCACAGTCATAAAAATGATGACTTTATCTCATGAGACCAAATAATATAGTTGTGGTATTATTAGTTAAATTAAAATGTTCCAATCCCTCAGAAAGGAACCACAGAAATCTGAGTTGCAACCATATAATATTCCAGATATTGTATGATGAATATGTGGGTTTTTTGATTTGAAAGGTGCTACTGTTTTCCCCCAGGAAAAAAGTGAATTTGTGGCAAATGGCCTGATAGAATAGTAGAAGTAATTGATGGAGTTCTGTGCAGTTCTGCAGGTGAGGTGACAGATCTGAAAAGCCTCTGACTTATTAGTTTGCCTGTCATCACAGTTTAAGGTATGACTATAGACAAAGTTAAAAAAATACAGCATAATCCAGAAAATTCTAGGGAGAAAAGAAGAATAATTCTTAACCCAATTCCCCTGTCAAGATCATTTAAAAATCATGTTTAAGATAACTCATAAATGAACATAATTGTCACTGCTAATATTTTCCTAAAATTAGGGCTTAAATTCTGAATCACTTTATATATATCTTAAAAATATTTAAAATATATTAAAGTGATCTTTAGGTATATAGTTACACATTAGGTAATTATAGGTTAACCTGTTAGACTTGTACATGATACAAGATATACAAGTGCAGAAATCTCTGCAGATTCAAAAGGCTCCCATAATAAATATTTCTTCTTATTTACACTTTAAGATAAGAATTGTTACTGCTGCCGTACACACATCATAGGCTGCCTAGGGCTACAGAGTGGAAATTTAAACTGAGAGATAAATAATTTGCCTCTTGCAGTAATAGGAAGCTTTTAATAATTTGGAAAACATTAGGGTTTTTAAATACCTGTTCCTTCAGTGTTGTATGAATTTATAATCCGGTCAGTGTAGTTCATCTAAGCTTACAGCTAAGTTTGTCAAACTGATGCACATTTTTTAAAGGAATGTTGAAACTTTTTGTAAAGTATATAAACATTTATATACTTGGAAAAGGAATGATTAAAGACAGCATCAGAGGGCATTGTTTGTCTTTTATATTTCCTGACATTCCTTCCTAATAGTGTTTTTAGGAGATGAATGCTGGCTGGCTTTTTTTGGCCACACAATGTAGTTTTAGCACAAGATAAAAACACTTAAAAGGTACAGTCTAAGTCATGGAAACAGCCAATTGTTACAGTGGAGAGAGCTTATTCAATATAAATATATAAATGAATGAAATTTTATGAATTGGACAATAAACTGTTACTGATAAACAAAGAAAAGATTCACTATAAAATACTATATATATTACTAAATGTTTGTGTCTCCTTGTTAGGCCCCAAAGACCTGCAGAATCTTTAATGACAAAGCTCTTTACCTCTGAGCCAAGTAATACAAATCTTCACCAGTTATAGAGTTGCATATTTCTAGGAAATATTTGAAAAGAAAATCATGTTCTTCTTAATTTTGATAAAGCATTTTGTTCTTGGAACGCAGGTAAAACAGATGACCAGTTCTGCTTTTTTTTCCCCAATAAACTATGTTTATTATGCCAATTCTAATTACCATGCAATCTAATGGTTTTAAGGCTTATAATTTCCACATCACTGGACATCACAAACATGAAAGCATTTTATACTGTCATTATACACCAATGTTTGCAGTTGGTTATACATATATACAGAAATTATTCACACATCTTAACCTTGCTATTTCCTCCTTTCAAGCCAACCTAATTTTATCGTGAAAGCAGCTTTTTAATAAATGGTATAAGAAATACAGCAAGGCACACATTTTTTAAAAACTTTTTTTCTCAATACCACCTCAAGAAGCATAAAAACCCAAAATATTGTACTTGATTCAGTAGAATGTCAACAGTTTCTAATATACAACACCATGTAGTTGTTTCTTGAAGTGTTGCATAGATTAAATTTTTAAATTAAATAAATAAAATGCCATTTATTTTAATTGCTTAATTCCTATTCAATCAGGAGGACTAATGACTTCTTTTTGCTGCAATCCAACAAAACTGTCACTTAAGAAGTAAAATAGTTTCAATAAACTTATGCATTATACAGATAAATATTAAATTTGATACATAAAATAGAAGAGCACTGACAGGTACAATTCTGAAAAGAGGAACCAGACTGATCATGAATTCTGCAGAACTTCAAAGAACAGAATCAGTGATAAGTAGTAGAGGAGCATCCAATTTAGGAAGGGGAGGTTATTAGAGGTAGCTTGGGAGAGGAATCCATATGAAAGCAAATGGCCTTGCTACAATGCAAAATGATCACTGACATTGGACTAGCATATGCAGCCTGATCACAAAGCCAACATGGACAAATCACATTTGGAAAGAAAATTTATCTTGGGAGTCAGTGTAATGAAAGGTAGTGATACAATGGAATTGAAGGTCATCCCAGGGTTTACAGGATGAACCTGCACCTGAATTGCAGCCCAGTTTCTAAAAGGAAACAAAAAAGTAATAGTAGGTTACAGAAAATGAAGTTTTATTTGCAAAACATAGGTCTTCCAGAACAATCATAGATAGTCATTAAATGGTCATATGCCAGAGCCTTTAATGCAGAAGCATACAGTAGGCAAGCAATGACTTTTAACAGCCTGAGGTACAAGTTGGTGTAAAAAATGAACTGATGTAGAAAACTCATTGATTTTCATAAACACTTTGTTTCTAAAGAAACTAGAGTATTCATCACATTTGACTTTCTCCCTGGATCCTGTTCTCATCCTTACCTGTGAACTTACCTTCAGCACACTCAGAAGTGCACCAATCAATGAAAACACAGAAATTTTCAAAAGTTAAGCAACAAAAAGATCTACCCATCAGTTATTTTAATATTTGTGCAAACATATATAATAAAATTTCAATGAAGAGGAAAGGATTGTCACATAAGTACTCGTGAATAGAACTGCATTTTTAAATTGCATTTTTAAATTGCAATTCTAGTACCAGTGATGAGCCAAATTTGCATACTATGGAATTATCCAGCTCAGAATATAGAGTTAAACTATTCAGCAAAGAGCACAGGCTTATGATGAGGATTATGAAGAAATAACTGTCAGAATACAGCTCAAAGATTAGTGCAAAGCACATCTCACAGACATTTCCTAGGAGGCACTCCAGACATGCATTATGTGCCTTCCAAGTTAAGCAGGAATATCTGGATCTATCCAGTGACCTTCTTCTTTGATCTTCTTTGTTGCAACTCACCTCCCCATTTAGATGAGAAATACACTTACTTGAAAATAGTAAAAACTCAACAGTTTGTTTAGATATTAAAGAAGAACTGACCTGAATAAAGAGGAAGATTGTATCAAAAGGTATCTACAACTCTGTCATGAGTTGCACATATCTAGACTAAGAAAAGTCTCACTGATGGATTATGACAAGTTTTTCAAAAATTATGTAATTCACAGACAATACAAGACTATCTGGTTTTTTAGATTTTTTTTAAAGTCATCTACTGTAAGGAGCTAAAAAAGTCAGACTGTTTTAAACTCTATAAAGAAACTTCATAGTATTTACTTCCCTATAAAAACTTCCAGGAAATAAAGGATAAGCAAAGATTTAGATTATTCTGGTAGTTCCAGTCTCTAAAAGTAAATTATTACATATTAACTATTGTGTAAACTTGCATATTATTTTTCTCCTGCAGTAAATAATTAACAGTCTTTTGCATTTATGTACCATCTTTTATCTGTGGATCTCAAAATATTTTTAAGTAAGTAAATCATGCTTCATAGGTCCCATGGATCATTATTCTTATTCTTTTTTTGCTAAAGAAACTCAGACAAGGAAGGAATAAGTCATAAAAAAAAAATCTATTGCTGAGCAGGAAATAACAGTCAGGTTTTCTGGGCACCAGTCCTGGTAATGGTAAGTGGCAGGATATTCTAGCTAACATTGCAGCACTGTCAGATAAAATCAATTTAGGTTTCTTAGTCCAAGTAAATGATATTTTCCCTAAATTAAGTTAAAACTTAAATTACAGAAGGAAGGAAATAGCTTTTGGACTTACTTGTAGGAACTAACAGATTACATATAGAATTCTAAGGTGTCCTCTAGAAAAGACTTTGGACAGAACACATAAACCTCCTTAATGTATTGATATCTATGCATATTGAATATGTAACTAAAAATTCCCATCCCATTGGTGAGTCATAGGTCACAGTGACAGCAGAAGATCACCTGATTTCACGTACAGAAAGATAGTTCTTTCCAGGTGACCCCTCATTGAGAAATAAAATCAGCATAGCTTTATGAGCACCTCTGTTGAAGATCTCTGTGTTGGCTCATCTAAGAGACTAGTCAGTGCTGACAGAGATATTTTTGAGCCAGCCTATATAATTGTTATAATTTTCCCACAATGGTCTTTTTTTAATTTTTTTTTTTTTTTTTTGGTAGCACACTACTAAATAACAGCATTGCAATATTTGGCAAAAATATTTATTCACTACTAGTTTTATTCTTCTGTACAGCCAAAGTAAATACTGAAACAGTACAAAATCAACCTACATTTGAAATCATGCCTTTTTCAACTTTGAATTCTCGGTATGCTTTTAAGGTACACATATACTATAGATTATTTTTCTCTAAGTATTGCAGCTACACATGGAATTACACATTTAAATGAGCTTACAGCACAGGTGCTACAGGGAAAATAATGGTGTTTGCCATTTATCTTTCAAATTAAATAATGTGTTTTTAAATAGTAACTTTTTTCATAATACACTTATGGGAACAACATTTATCTGTCACATTTTAAAAGATGTATTAGTAATAAATGTAAATTACCTTTGGAAAATCAGTAATTAGCCTCATCAAAAAATAAACAATCTGCCACCAAAAAGATAATCTTTAGCATAGTTAAGTATAATAACTGTTATTTGAATAAGTTAACAAATTAGGATAGATTGCTTCTGTAATTCATTCCCCATAGCATGAGAGATGAAGTTAAAACATCAAGCTTGTGAATGGGGGAAGGGAGCTCAGACTTTAGTGAAACCAAACCTAGCAGCTCATATTTTCATTTTTTGTGTGCCTGAGATACACTATATGTGTTCCAAACGTCACTATTGGGAATAATACAGTACAGAATTTCCATGGAAGCAATGCTATATGTACCAGTTAAGAAACCAGTGTATCTTCCTAAATATAAAAAGTGGGATGTAGCATGAAGGGTTTGTTAGCTTCAAATTAATTTGTCAACTGCTGGGCAAAAATTGGAAACTATAACCTAACCATATTAAATTGTTGCATACAAATTCTGCATTACATTTTATTGCATTGTGGGGCATTTATTAATAACTCTATCCTCTGTGTCCTCACACCAACTGCATATTGTCATATCCCAGTCTTATGAAAAAAACAGCTGGCTACCATGCAAGTAACTATGAAGTTCTGAAAAGTGAGGAAAGGTTTATACAGTATTTTGAGATCCTCAGAGGAAAAGTACTAATGAATTGAAAAGATGTTATTATCTTCATCAGTGAAAGAATGAGAACAAGAATAAAATCACACTCACTCTAGCAAGTATTCTTCCTCAAATCAATATTATAAAAATAAGTGAAAAAAAATAAGAAAACTAATAAACCAGTAATTTAGGAAAGCTTATGTTTACATAATTATCACTTATCAACCTCAGACTTTTGTCAGCATCTCAATTTCCAAATAGAAGCTCCTATATACATATAATCCATGTAATGTGATTCTAGAATACATTGTATCATTTATGAGTTTTGTAATTCCTAGTTGATTTCCACTGCTTCTCCGGTTGCTTGGATGTGTCCAAGTATTAACCTAATTGACAATCAGCAGGTCATGGTAGCCTATTTCAAGGCCATTCCAGAAATATCCTCTTTGCTATGATGGTTCCAAGACAATGCATTAGTCAAATAGATATGTGTTGAGATAGCGGCAAGATGTAGACTATTGCTGTCATAACCTAAAGGCTTTGCTAGATATATTTTTACATATGTGAATGTGCAAATACTGGGTAAACCACCAATATATGTAAATGAAAAGCCCAAAGCATAGTAATATACCATAGCAAAATCAGGAGATGTGGGAGTTAGATCCCTAAGAGCAGAAAAACAATCTGTATAAACAGGACGAGATACTCTGCTACAGCTATGTAGTTGCAATAGGAGAGCACTAGTGGTTTCAGTGGGCAGTGATGAATAACAGCCTTTTCTCCTAGCAACATTGAGGAATCATAGCATAACTTAGGTTGGAAGGAAACTTGAACGTCAGCTGGCCCAACCTCCTGCTCAAGGAAGGGCTATTTTCAAAGGTAGACAAGATTATTCAGGGCCATGTCCACTCGAATTTTGAAAATCTCCATGGATGGAGATTCCAGAATTTCCCAGGGAAACCTGGTCCCATGCTTAGCCTTTCTACAGCTTCTGGCAAGCAGCGGCATTTGGAATTGGATTGGCATTTGGAGTTGCCATGCTGGCTGTGGTCTACTAGAAGAGTGTTTCCAAAGACTAATGGCATTCCATGTAGCTATGCTGGCTTTTGCCACGGAACCACTAGTGAGATTCACAGCAGCAGTGCTACATGCTAGGAACTGATTCAAAAGTTGCTTTGTAGATCTTCTTCTGTTGTTAAATGTGCAGTAATAGTTGAGCATTTATGTGAGGTCAGAAACTCCAGATCTGAACCACTTTCAAATTTTGGAAGAGACTAGGTCCACCTTTTCATCTTAGGTTCCACCATCTTATTTATGTTTCAAAATGCTTACCACAAAATAGAACCAAAGCTTGCAGTAAGCTGTGTGGCTATGAGTTTCCATCTGCTTTGGTATTCAGGTCTTTATTCTACATTACCCCCACACTATACTCTTTAACGATGCTGCAAAGATTTCTTGTTATCATAACCTCAGCTTTTGGTCTAACATTGTGTTGTAATAATTGGGTTCTTAATAATGGCCTACTGAATTTAAATCATAGTAAACTGACATCCAGAGATAACTTATTATCTCTCTATTCTCCAGTATGCTTAGCCATTCTTCTTGTTTTGTCTGCAAATATTGTAGAACTCCAACTCACTAGGCACCCAAAATTCTTGTAGGACTGCAGGTTCAGCTTCATCAAGTGCTTTTGAACCCCTCCCAAGGCTGGCTTACTGTGTAGAAGAGCATCAATGAGTGGAGCTTGTTTCTGGTTCCACAGCTCAGTTGAGGAGGGAAGAAGAGCCTGATATATTACTTTTGAAGAATTCCCAAGTTCTGCAAGATAGCAGATTTGTTCCAGATGGGAGCAGCTCCCGTCAATGCAAAGCCAAAGGGCAAAAAGCCATTAGTATTTGCTGCATTTGTTGACTAGTGGTATGTAAATTAGGATTATAGTGTAATCAAAACAAATGATACAGCACTGTAATGAAATAGAAGCCCTGGCTGGCAATTCATCTCCTTTCATTGTACAAAAATGTAAAAAAATTCCCAAAACCTAAAAAAAGCTAAAAAAAAAAAAAAAGTGCAACTCGTAGAGTACATACCTGTTTCTAGAATAATGTACGTGCCTTGAGATGGTTACATTCTATCTGTGCATATTTATATGTCTTTCCTTATGAAGTTTCAGGAGATTTTCTTCACAAGTAAGAGTTTTTCTGTTCTGATGCAAAACGACCTTTTTCTGCGAATGGCCAGGCTTTATCTGAAACTCTATAGCTGAAGCCTCTTCAGAAGCAGCAACACATCCTTTGTGCTCTTCAGTTCCAGGTGATTTCCCTGTACTACTCTTTTTAGTGCTAAGCTCTGGAGAATTCTTTTCAAAACTTTCAGTCTGTCCATCTGAAATCAGCAAATCATCATCAGCATTTTTCAAATTGTTTGATGCATTATGTTTGTTAGGACTTGGGACATTGATATTATTGTCATTCCCACACAAAAAAGATAAATCCCTACCTTCAGGTGAACTTTTAACTTCTAATGACTCTGGAGTCACTTCACCTAGTGGTTCTGCAGATGTTTCAGAAATAGGGTTAGAAATAGGTTGCTGCTGCTCAACTTGTGCTTCAGGAGAACCATTAGAAATGGATTGCTGCTGCTCAACCCATTCTTCCTCAGGACAGGCTTCAAAAAAGCATTCAATATTTTCTCTCTCATCTGTGAAGTCCAGTGGCACAGGAGTGCTGCTCTTTTCCTCTATGTATTTGAATACCTCTCCACAGTCACTATCATGAGAAGAAAGTGAAAGGTAAGAATAGAAGTCCCCTTTTCTTAGCTGGATGGGTCTATGAGAGTGTTCTAACACTTTTTCCTTGATCTGTGCTAATGAAGCTGGAGCAGATGACTCACATTCAGGCTGTGACTTACTTTTCAAAGCTGTTGATGCCATGTCTATTATCTCCTTCACAAAATTGTGTACTGAACCATCCTCCATGGTTTTTTTATCAAAATCAGCAGATTCACAGTTACAGCACAAATCAAGACCATTGGTTGAGGAAATGCATTCTGCTTTACTGGATTTCAAGGTAGCACAGCAATCAGCAAATTTTTCAGTAATGCTTATTCTGTGTTGTTGACCATTAGGTAAGGATGCCTGTAAAGCTGTACCTTGCATGTCTACAGAACTAATTTCTGAGGAAGATTCAAGACAAGGCTTTTTAGCAGGAGAGGAAGCAACAGAGTTATGATCAGATTGAAGATGACTTTGACATTCTTTTGGAGGGTTTCTGAATCCAGCTGAGGACTGAATAGTCTCTTTACTGTCCATACGTGAATCATCTGAACTGTCTGTAAATGCTTCACAGATACAACCTTCATTTTCAGCTTCTCTAACATCAAGTGATGCATGAGTTTTGGGTGTTGCTGCTATTTTAACAACACCTTCCTTTTGACTGCCAAGAGTATTTTCAACATTGCCATTCTCCATATCATCCACAAGCTGATCCTTCACAACCTGGGAGATGTCTTTCATTGGGTGACTCTTTGTCCCTTTTTCATGATCACATGGTATATTCTTACTATTGCCATTATTTTCTGACATTTTCTGTACTGAACCATTCAATAGTGTTTCAATGCTTAATGTATCTGTGGCTTTAGATGTCTCGTTACTAACTTCTTTACTGTGCTGAATTTCATCACAGAGGTTACTTTTTCTTCTCTCCCTTGTCAAAGAAAATTTTGGTCTAATCCAGGTTTGCAGTTCATTTTTTATATAATCAAGTCCTGAAATTAAATTGCATTCTTCATAAATATCCTCATCAGTTGCTATACTGGAGTCGTCATCTTCATCTTTGATACCTAGCTCTTCCTCAGTTAAGGTAAGAGTGGAACTTGAAAGCAAATCACTGTCATCTTCATCATCAGTACAAGCAGAAGTGCAGGAGACGTTAACAATCATGCTGACATTGACATCGCTCTCATCAGCTACAGACCTATTAAGATGTTTTCTAAATGATGCATTCGAATCTGGTATTTTATTTCTGTGCAGTACAATGTCTTCAGAGCAGAGAGAAAGATCCTCACTGCTGCTGAGTTCAGTGAGAGAAGCTGCTGAATCTTCATTGATCGAAGATGCAACATCTAGAGACAGCTGTCCAGTAAAAGACATTTTTTGAGAGCTACTTTGGAGTGTTATATCAGAGATGCTGCGCTTTATCTTTTGATCTGAAGGACTCTGGATATTCTCTAAGCGATTCAAAAGATCTAATGTCCTTTTACTGAGCTCTCCAACAGAATCACTGCTTGCACTTATGTCTCCTGAGCCATGATGACTAAAAAGATCTTCGTTGCTTTTGTAGGAAGTCAGCCAGCTCTCCAAAGAGGTACTTCGCTGAAGACCATCTCCACTTTTAAAAATACCTGAGCTGAATAAATCCCCTACTACAGACAGAGATTCTAATGAAGAACTACGAGATAAAGCTGAAACCAGTCTTGTATTCTCTGTAACAGTTAATTTTCTTACAGTTTCTGCAGATTTACAGCAATTGGGATCTGATTCTCCACAAATACTTGCCAGAGTATGGTCATGAATAAACTCATCTGGTTGTGACTCTACAGACTTATGTTCAGAGTTACCAGGCATTTTATCAAAACAAATGTCATTAAACAAACTACCCTCTGTATGTGTTTTTTCAATTTGTGATTGTTTCATTATAACCGGTAATTTGAATTTGGAGCCTTGAAGATATGAGTAATCATAAAATGTAAACACGTCATGTTTTCCTTGCAATTCTTCTAGAGAAACAGGGTTAGACATGGTAATGCTGTCCAAATCCTCACCATTTTCACTTCCACAACATGCAGAAGGTGCCAACTGGAAATCGTCTGAGAGACTAGCATGGTCTTCTTCATCTTGCTTTATTTTTTGATGTATTACATCATCCACTTGACTTTCCACATGCCCAATTTCAGGATTACTCTGAGTGGTTTCAATATCATTTAGCAAAAAAATTTCTGAATTATTTGTAGTTTCTGTATCACATTCACTCACTATCCCACTCTCACTCTCAGAATGCCTGCTTATGTTTCCACTCTGATATATATAGTTATAAGGTTTTGTCAGTGTGGTCCCCCCTATTAGATCTGGTAGGGATTTGGTAGATGAAAACGATGAGTCTTTACTAAGACTTTTGTTTAAAATGTTAGACTGTGTTACACTGGAGAGTCTGGATGTTTTTTTCAAAAAAGGTATGTGGTTTTTTTCTGATAATTCAATATTATGAAGACTATAGACCTGATAGACATGAGGATTTGGAGGGGAAGTAATGTTGGAACAATAAAGAGGACTTCCACGACTACTGATACTTTCGTCTTCATTCACATCATTATCACCACATTCTCCTGAAGCAGGTTTCTGGTTTAGGTCATCCTTCTTGAGCTCCTGATCAGGATCGCTTAAGTCTTCATGAATACTGATCAGCTTATTGCTTATGTCAGTTTCATCCCATTCTAGTGCATCTTCACTTGGACCATTTAGATCCATCAAACTGGGATCAATAACATTCAGAGGCTCCTGTAAAAGAAAAAGTCAAAGATTAAAAATATTTACAGCTGTACTTTAAATGCTTCCACTGAAATCACGCAAGTAAGTTAATAGGAACAAAGTACATTTTTGGAACAATGATCAGTAATTTTGTTATGTTAATTTTGTTATGTTATCAGTTAATTTTGTTATGTTTGTGTGTGCCATTAAAACAATCAATTAAAATTAAACCTATTGCATTTTGCATGATTTCTTAGTCTTCTCACTTTTTTCCTATTTGCTGTCAAAATATAACACAGAAATTTGACTTTTCTTTAATAGACATTAATTGTGCTTAGTCACTCTATATGTAATAAGTTTTAACCATTCTGCAGAATCACATAGGAGTGTGTTAGTAAAAAACATGCAATTATGTTGGATATACGAGAATGTCTCTTAACTAGCTAGAGTTTAAAAGATATAGAGGATTTATTAAAGGATTTTTGAAATGTTTCTAACAAACTTTTGTGTTGTCATCCTTAAAACACAAGACTTGATGAGTTTTTGTTAAAGTTTCTATTTATTCATTACTTACTAAGAAAGGCAGTACTAGTGACCAGTAAGTAGGACTAATGAATGTAAATGTCTTCAGCTGAAAATCAATCAGTCTAATCTAATACTACAAAAATTTCAAATATTGTGTCCTGATACCTTTCTCTGGTAAATAAATAATTGAGCTAAACTTAATTTGCTTTTTTAAAGACTTTTGTAACTTTCTAGTAATATTTGTTATTATTACTCAGAACATATAGTAACAAGAATTATTCCTTCTAAAAACATGTGGGAGAGGAAGAACCCCTTGACAGCTTTGCTCACTGAAATGTGATGTGTCAAGTGGCCAACAGCACCAAATCACCTTAAACTCTTCAAATAAGACTGAAGTGGGCCCTGAAAACAAATAAATTTCACTTAATTTTTCTATTTATTGGGAAACCTCCATTTTAGAGAAGGCTATGCTTATACCTCGTCTAGTAATAGAACTGTTGACTAATGCAGAATTGTTTAGTTTAAACAATCTGAACAGCTGAACAATGATCACTGTATCCAGAAACACAAGCACTTTTTCCAAAAAAACCCTTTCAACTCTTATCTTTTTCTCTCCCTAGTTTTCTTTGAGCAAGTGTTGTTTTTCAAATACGGCATTGATATCCTGCCATACAGCAACAGCAAATAACAAAAAAAACATAAAGTAACTGAAATAAAAGCAGATAAAATGAGGCTTTAGTCCAACAAAGTGCAGTTGTGCACAACTTAGTTACTGACTTAGATTCATCAAGACTCGGACGAGATTAATTGTGCAGGGAAAGGCACGTATCTCTGACTTTGATTCTCAGCTGGAAACTCTCTTTGAAGTAGGAACTAAAGCTGCTCAGCCCTTTTGTGAGAAACCATGGGATGTTCTCCAAAAGCTCAAAAGTTAGGACACTGATTTTGGTCATGGGACACTTTGTCAGCCTGAGCATGAGACATGAACCAGGTAATCAGTCTCTCAGAAAAAACCTTACCTACATGCCATTCTGAAAAGAAACCTGCTTCTCCTGTGTCAATTTGCATAAAACAATTAAATATTAATTCAGTCATAGATAGATGAGGTAATTTTTTTCCTGCAGTGTTGTGTTCAGCACATTTGAAAAGCAAGAGGCACAGGTAGGTCCAAACATCTGCTGAGTGACTAATTACAGGTATAGGTGGCACTATTTCTATGCAAGACACAAGGCTATACCGTCCCAGTACGTCCAGTAAACCAAAGGCTAAAACAAACAAATGACATCAGGAAGAATTATTTTTTCCAAACTGGGCAGAGTAGCTATCCACCATTCAGCAGAGTGATACGATTATTAATTTATTTGAAAAAGCAGGGCACTCTCCCTGTAAGATGAATCTGTGTCCTCATACTTCATTGGGCTTAGCTGTAATGTAGGTCTCTGAGTACTGTAGCTGTGTTAAGGTATAATAATGGGCAGAAATACAGGTGCCAAAGAATTTTTCCTCCTCAGCAGGTAGGGAGGCCTTTAGGCATTTTGTGAATCTGTCATGTCTAATGTTGAAGGCTAGAGTCTCTTTGTGGATCTACCTACCCCAAAGGTTTTATAGAGTACGTTTGTTACAGTCCTTTTTTACCCCTGTGAGATACTGGCTAATGTTAAATTCCCAGGAAAACACCCATTTGCTGGAAAACTATGGCTTTCAGAGCAGTTCTGTACATTGCGGAGTTCAGAAATTCTTATTTGGATTTGCATTTACTGTGTTTTCATAATGGCTCTTGGTTGGTTCTTAGTTTCCCATGTGCAGCTGACCCTTAACCAACCTGCAAGTAAAATGCAAGAGAATTACAATAATTAAGTTAATTTAAAAACCTGTTAGATTAAAATAAAATCAGATAAAATGACTAATTTTCTCTATGGCATGTTTTATGACTCTGTCGAACTCAACATTAGGAAGACATTGCTGTGGAAAGTTTCCTAAACTGCACAATTTTACTGTTTTAAGCTTCTGCCAGCTGCGAGAAGAAATTACTGAAGGCAGGAATTCAGCAGCAGGTTCCAAGGATTTTATGTTCCATAGAATCTGATTTTGTTTCTCAAAACAAAACATTTGGTCCTTATTGGTCAGGAAGATAACCTTCCCTCTGTAAATCAGCACTTGGCTGCCGTGTTTGTTCAGCAAGGCTGATGGACTAAAACAATAAAACATTTAGAGTCGTGACCTCAGCCCATTCATCTTCACTGAGTGCTCCCCACTTCAAAGCCTACTTTTTTGTTCTTCAAATGCACATGCTTTTCTGATGCCTGGTGTACACTCAGTTTTGCGGGCAAAGCTATGATGGTAAGGGATTTTATTTTATTTATTTATTTTACTTTCCTTCCGATTGTTAGTTATGCTTGAAAAGACTAACTAACTAAAATAGTCATTTTACCAACATAGCTTTCTCTCTCCAAGGAACTGACTGAATTGATATTAGTGAATTACTACTGTTGTTAAAAGCATCATATCCCTTGAAGTAAAACTTTAGTGGTTATCAGCTCCATTGGCAGCCCTTCCCAAGTTCTAACTGAAGCAAATCACCTGGCTTAAGTCACAAACATTATGTATTTGGCATTTTTAATAGGGGTATATATTTTTGCCTTCTTTTTTTACAAAATTTAGTGAACTGCTCAAATAAGAAAGAGGCTTTAGACTTTGAGGCAGTTGTTGGAGAGAGTACACCATTCTCTTGAATAAATCTCTGGAGGGAAAAATGGAAGGTGGTGTCACTCCAGCCTGCGTTTGCACTGACAGTAACAGCAACGTAAAAAGCAGGAATCTCTAAGGACTATTTTTATCAGATGTCTCTTTTCAGGATGGTCAGTGGAGAGGTAGGGTGCTGAATAATTAGAGTTATTATAATAGTAATAGATTATTAGGTCTTACCAGTAGAGTGTTTAAAATTTGCCAAACTGATCCTTTACTTGGTGTTATACAGAGGAGGGCACAACATCATAAGTATTGAATGGTATTGGAGATGGATTCTGTTTACTCACTTTACTGGGAAAAAATGATGTTGTTTCTTCTGCTTTGTTTTTCATTTGAAAGAACTGTATAGTATTGCACAATGTATCTTTTACACAAAGCAAATAAATCCACTGTAATTTCCAATGGGGAAAACTTTACTTTTTAAAGAGCTGAATCAAGTTTTTTATTCTGTTTCACTTAATTAAGAATGTGGCTTTCCTACAGTGTTTTTACTTGCACTCCAAATGATGTTGCCTGGTTCAAGGTATTTGAGCAACTCGGCCTAGTGAAAGGTGTCCCTGTCCATGGCAGGGGAGTTGGAACAAGGTGATGGTTAAGATCCCTTTCAACCCAGGCCATTCTATCATTCTATAATCCTTTCTTGAATTGCAAACATCCAACAAGAAAGAGGTCTATCACAGACAGAAATGCTGATCTCCACATGTAAGACAGACTATATTTAAAGAGAATCTTTGAGTGTGCTACAGAGCTTCAGATTTCAATAGGGCGAGCCCTGTATGCTTACTCCTAAGTCCTGGCCTTGCTGAAGTCTGTGACGAAGTATGTTGCAAAGGTACCACACTGTCTGGCAAAAACTCATTGGATGCCAGCCAGTGTAACTGATTGCACTAAATTTCCCAGAATTTAGAAACTTGTTTTTAATATGTGCAACAGTGTGTGAGTATAAATGTATATACAATTTTTCTACAAAATGGGTAGTTTTAAAGTAGGTCAGAGTGGCTCTATCTTATAAAGTGGCTTTATCTTATAAAGTCCACTTATAAATACCACTACATCTAGAGAAGATCTTGATGGTCACATGGTTCACAGTAAGAAAAGGCAAATAGTTTTGACCAAGAAAGCAAAAAAAACCCAACCGAAAAGTGTAATAAAAACCAAAAGATGCACAATATTAGGCAGATTCCTATTTTTTAAATATTACCACTAGACAAACATTAGGAAGCATTTACTGCAAATAATCAATTAATTTATAGACTCAGAAGAGTGAAAGGTTAAATTAATTTTAAGGTATTTGAAAATGCTGCGCTAAGGTGTTTAGCTATTCCTACTTTGAACCCTGAACTATTTTGCTCAGGCCAGCATTCTCATTTCAGTGGGATAACTCATGTGAGCATAGCTAGGTGTGCACTTAAATGCTTGTAGAGTTGGTGTTTAACGGCTAAGCAGTTAATCTGCTGACAATGTTAATGGGAAGAAATAAAGATATTAAGCCAAATAAAGACATTTCCTCAGCCCCAGTGCTCTTTCAGGAAAAGTGTAAAAAATGCACTTTTTCATTTGTTTCCTTTACTAAAAATATGGACAGTTTTGCACTTTGTTTTTAAGCAAATTATATTAAACAATGATTTTCTGTTTCAGCTTCATTTGCATGTGCTACTCCAGTACAGATACTTTGTGTTGGTGAAACAGGCCTGTAATGTAACCCCTACGTACTATTATATTTTTTTAAAGGAATTAACATGAAAAAAAGACCTTTT